AGGAAGAATCAACACGAGACGGTGTCCGAGGGGGCCACGAGGCAGGGGCACGCCCTGGACCCTCGTGGGCACCCCTTAAGGCGGTTGACGCTCTTATTTTGCTGCAAGAAAGCTAGTTTTATCAGAAAAATCTGGGCGAATGATACACCCCAATCGGAGTTACGGATCTCCGGATATAAAAGAAACGGTGAAAGGGCAGAATCTGAGAAGGCAGAAACAGAGAGAGACAGAGAGATAGATCCAATCTCGGAGGGGCTCTCGCCCCTCCCAAGCCATGGGAGCCAAGGACAAGAGGGGAAACCCTTCTCCCATCTAGGGAGAAGGTCAAGTAAGAAGAAGAAGAAGGGGGGCTCTCCCCCTTGCTTCTGGTGGTGCCGGAACGCCGCCGGGGGCCATCATCATCACCGCGATCTACACCAACACCTCCACCATCTTCACCAACAACTCCATCACCTTCCCCCATCTATATTCAGCGGTCCACTCTCGCGCAACCCGCTGTACCCTCTACTTGAACATGGTGCTTTATGCTTCATATTATTATCTAATGATGTGTTGCCATCCTATGATGTCTGAGTAGATTTTCGTTGTCCTATCGGTGATTGATGAATTGCTATGATTGGTTTGAGTTGCATGTTTTATTATTGGGGCTGTCCTATGGTGCTCTCCGTGTCGCGCAAGCTTGAGGGATTCCCGTTGTAGGGTTTGCAATATGTTCATGATTTGCTTATGGTGGGTGGCGTGAGTGACAGAAGCACAGACCCGAGTAAGTAGGTTGTTTGTTTATGGGATAAAGGGGACTTGATACTTTAATGCTATGGTTGGATTTTACCTTAATGATCTTTAGTAGTTGCGGATGCTTGCTAGAGTTCCAATCATAAGTGCATATGATCCAAGAAGAGAAAGTATGTTAGCTTATGCCTCTCCCTCAAATAGAATTGCAATAGTGATTGCCGGTCTAGTAAAGTAGTCAATTGCTTAGGGACAATTTCGCAACTCCTACCACCACTTTTCCACACTCGCTATATTTACTTTATTGCTTCTTTATCTAAACAGCCCCTATCTTTTATTTACGTGCTCTTTATTATCTTGCAAACCTATCCAACAACACCTACAAAGTACTTCTAGTTTCATACTTGTTCTAGGTAAAGCGAACACTAAGCGTGCGTAGAGGCGTATCAGTGGCAGATAGGACTTGAGAGAATATTTGTTCTACCTTTAGCTCCTCGTTAGGTTCGACGCTCTTACTTATCGAAAGAGGCTACATTGATCCCGTATACTTGCGGGTTATCAAGTATAAACATGCAAACTCTTATACCCGTTGAATACAACTGACAAGTACTGATATAGACCCATGTGTGCAGCTTTTTGCATGGTAGGCAGTGTGTGGAGATTACATCTATTCTAAAGTATTCTCTTTCTCCCCATGCAGAAGACTTCTATTTACTTTCATAATAAAACTTTGGTTGATAAATATCTTTTGAACCATAACCCTGTTTTTTCTATATATATTATAATTCGTAGCGAGAAGATCTTCAGAGCAAGATCAATCAAGGATACATTTGATCTAATTTTAGTTTTACTGTTTCACTCAGTTCGAAAGAATATAATTTCACTCATTTCAAAATAAGTATTTCACTAATTTGAAAAGGCACATTTCACTCCTTTGAGAAAAACTATTTTCATGTGTTTTAAAAAAGTTTCACTCATTACAAAATCACCTGGTTCACGTATATATATTTTCAGTTATCTTTGAAATCACATCCATAAAACATTAAAAGGTTTCACTATTTCATATAAGTGATATTTACGGTTTCAAACATTTTCACAAACTGGAATATGGAACTTACAAACTAACTTCACCCATTTGATTTCACTCGTTTTAGATAGCTCATTTTAGTTATTTAAAGAAACCAATTTCACTCAATTGAAAAAACAAACTCACTCGCTTCATAAAACAGATTTTGCTCATTTCGAAAATTATATTTCACTCATTTCAAGAAACAATTTCACTCATTCAAACAGTGATTTCACTTATTTCATAAAATTGGTTTTAGTCAATTCAAAAAACCTATTTCACTTAATTCAGAAAAAAGTATTTCACTAATTTGAAAAGGCACATTTCACTCCTTTGATAAATCTATTTTTCATGTGTTAAAAATGTTTCACTAATTACAAAAACACTTGGTTCACTTATTTTAAATAAACCGATTTCATTTATTTCAGAACACATATTTCACCGAGTTCACGTATTTCAAAAACACATGATTCGTATATTTGAAAAATAACAGTCTCACATATTTCAAATAACCGATTTCACTCATTTTATAGAAAATAATTTCACACAATTAAGAAAACAAGTTTCAGTTGTTTGAAAATACATATTTCACTCAGTAAAAAAAGCTTATTTTGGAAAAGTGAGTTTGTTCATTTAAAAACACATATTTCACTTGTATCAAATAACTAGTTTCAAAACTTTGAAATAAAAACTTTCACGTATTTCGCACCGGAACATCTGTCATGTGTATGAAAAAAAAAGGTTTCACTCACTTCAAAAAATTAATTTCACTTATTTTAGAAAGGTCATTTCACTTATTTCAAAAGAACTATCATTTGTAAAACAAATTCTCTCCCTTCAAAACTATATTTCACTCAGTTCAAAAATAATTTCACTTATTTCAAAACACAAATTTTTAACATAGTTCATTGAACATAAATTTGATTGAAACGAAAAAATTGGAACTTGTTCAAATGCATTGCAGATTGGTGTTGTCTGTGAGGTCTCGTCGCTAGGAATTCAAATATATAAAAAGTTTCAAAAGATATTAAGTGCTGAGATATGAACATATTAGTTGGACAATACAGAGATATACTCCCTTCGTTTTTATTTACTCTGCATATTAAATTGGGTCAAAGTCAAACTTCATAACTTTGACAAAGTTTATAGACAAAAATATTAACATATACAATTACAAATCAATATCATTAGATTCATTATTAAACGTACTTTCACATCATATAGATTTGTTATCGTAAATATTTATATTATTTCCTATAAACTTGGTCAAACTTTATGAAGTTTGATTTCAGTCAACCTTTTTTTTGAATAAAGACACCCAAAGGGCATCTTAAATCTGATTATCATCGAGGAAAACAAAGGCCAGTACAAAGGATAGACAACTGGACATAGAACGACCAGTAAAAAGTAAAATTACAATAAAAAACATACTAGTCTTCTTCTTCCTCTGATTGTACGCTGCCCGTCGGTGATTGAAAATTGCACTGAACCAACAGCAAAGAAAAGCAAAACCTGCAAATGCCCTCGCCATACAAGGCTTTGAAGGCTGCAATAGCCACTCGCCCCTTGAGACGAGATCTAGAAGTCGTTGAAGCAGCATCGGCTGGAGCATCACCCCAAGCAGAACAAGCTTGCAATCCACCACCACCAGATCAGAGGGTTGGAGAAACCGGGTTAAGCCACACAACAACACAGAAGAAGATGTCGTGGTCGCCACACCAAACGCCAGCCAAAAGTACTCCTTGAAAGACACACAAACTGCCAAGATCTGAAGGAACCAACCGATCTGGGGACACAAACTCTCACAGGCCCTTCGCCGACGCCGGATCGAACGTCGTCGAGGTAGGGAGAGACCGGAGAGACTTTATTCCAACACGCAATCGTCGCCACCACCTCGTCGATGCCGCCGGAGAAACAAAAACCTAAGAAAAATAAAACAAGACGGACGGGTCCCCACTCCTCTTGCCGCCGACGAGGCCGCCGGACGGGAAAGAGGAGGGGGACCGAGGCGGCGGCATTAGTTGTGGCGGCGGCGGCGGCTTAGGGTTAGTCAACTCTAATATGCAGAGTAAATAAAAACAAAGGTGTACATATGAAGTAAGACCACAACTGCACGGATCTTGAAGGCACTGTGCGGTGGATGATGTACCAGTACATAGCTGAACCGGTAAAAAGAGGTTTGCGGGGACCGCGGTCCGCCCGCTAGGCGTCTGCTTGGAGCGCCAGAAGCCGAAACCGGCGTTCGCTCGAAAGAAAAAAGAAGCCTAAACCGGCGGTGAGAGCGAGCTCTCCGACATCGACGCCGAGTTTGAATCGGAAACAGTTTCTTGAGTCGATCGCGTTCCAATTAATACGCTGGCCAACACGAACCCTCAATCTCTCTACGGTTTTCTTTTCTTTTTGCCCAAGGAGAGCAGCGTCGGCGACTGCGACCGATCGACCTTGCCCACGGTGCTCTGGCCTCTGGAGATTAAAATACGACTGGTGACTCTTCGCTAGAGTTGAAATCCAGGGAGGAGCCAGGAAAGACGTCTGAGATTCAGGCGACAAAACGAAATCAGAGGGATCAGATTGTTGAACGAGGCGAGGCTCGAGAAGAAGCTGCTGAGGCCGAGAGAGCGACGAAGCCGATGGCGGCGACGAAGAAACCCAAGGCCAAGCCTCAAAAACCAGCCAAGGTAACGGCTGCGAGGATAACAAAGATGCTGGCTGAAGGGGATGAGATGATAAGAAACATGACACCTGAAGAAAGGGCCAGGATTATTGCCGAGTCCATGGCTGAAAAATCGGCCCGCGAAGCTGCTGAGGCGAAAGATGAAGCTGGAGATGACGAGGAGGAGACTGCACCGGCACAATGCGAGGAAGAATGGTTCGCTGCCAAGTTTCGCTCTATGTGGAGAAGATACTTAGCTCCCGGCGGTGTTACTTTCGACCAAACCAGTAAGCCCTCTCCCCGTCCAATCACTTCTCTTGATCCATGCACACGTACGTCCTTCTATGTTGTGCTTGTCACTGATACCAATTTGATACTCCCTCCGTCCCATAATATAATGTCAAAAACGTTCTTATATTATGGGACCGAGGGAGCAATATAAGTTGCAGCATATATACATCAATGGATTTGAATTTATCTCCTGTAGCTAACTAATTAACTGCTTTTATTTACATGTGATGTGATCGATCTATGCAGCATCTACTCCCTGCCATGCGTTATGTGAATCCTGCTTCGGGTTGCTCGGCCAAGGCCATGGACACTCTGCAGATTATGTCAGTCAAAGTTGCAGCAATCAACGGGGGCTTGCACTGGCCACTACAAGTGTTTGGTATCGTTGCTGCGCGTGATTACTTGGATCGTAAGCGCAATATTATTTTCCACCGGCCGAGGACTGACTGCCAAACCATCACCCAGGAGGTTCGTATTTGACTCTTCTCTCTTGGTTTTGTCTTACCATATGATGAAATGAACATTGTCGTTTAGTTAATTTTTGTTCTGCGCATGCAGGATTGCTACCTAGCACTGTCCGGTCCTAGCCGTGCCATTGTCGTCTCATATGATCCTACATACGTTGAGGTTTCGCTCAAAGTGAAGGGCGCTATTGAATCTGAGGATAAAGATTTAAGTGCTCTCATTGTGGTGTTTAGAGCTGGAGCCTGTCCTCAAAATGTCTACCCTAGCAGGCTTAGCACGCTGGAAATGAATTTTGATCACATTTATCAATCGGTGGAGGCCACGGTCTTTATAAGAATTATTGGCGGGTCGTGGCCGGATGGCTTTCGGGGTGTATTTAGTGCTGCCTCCAGTAGGGATGACACCCTGCAAGTCAAGTTACTTGAGTTTGAAGATGGTAGGTTGCCTGCTGACTCTAACGGTGTGATCGCGCTCACACGACGTGTGGTCTCTGTTGCGCTTCAGAGGAACTTGAAGGTTTCTGTAATGGCATTTCCAAGAAACGTGGGATATGCTGCTGAGACCAGTGAAGCAGTTTTACAACCTCATAGAGCCGGTGTAAGCCCCCCAGGAGTCAATCTCTGTGTTGGCTCGTGTAGTATGGAAGTTCGTGTTGCTTGGTCCTGTTTCTGTTGTGAGTGTTGACATGAGACCATCTTTAACTCATTTAATCTGTGTATTATATGTTGGTGTAGTGGTATTGTGGCATTTTTTCTAGTGGTGTATGCTAGAAAACTGTTCCTAGTTTTGTACTGCTGGTAATGTGGCATCTGTGGCCAGCTGGTGTTTTAGTGGTGTATATGCTAGAAACCTGTTCCAAGTAGTAGTGTTCTGTACTAGCTTCAGTGAGACTAGGTGGAAAGGAGATTGAGTGTGGATATGGTAGTTACTTTCAGATGTTGTTCATTTGCTGTATCCAGCATCCACTGAACCTGTAATCTGATTACCGGATGCTACCTTTTTTATTCTCAGAGTACTGGATGCTAACTCATGACTTTGTGTGCACATGATAGCAACTTTCACATTAGTACATTACTATTGTGTAAAACAATTCTGTTCCGTAAAAGAGGGAAACAATAAATATTTTCAGGATAAAACTACTGATAGAATCATGCCGTAGATCAGTCAAGAATTGAAGAAGGTTGTCAGTGGTTCATTGAGGACATAATGTCAAGACCGGTTTTCCAATAAAACATTTATTGAGAAACCGTCCTTTATATCCAACCAGTATAGGAAAATCTTCCTTACTAGTAGACAAATCCATGATACAGAAATTCAGAAGCACTACATATTTTACAAGGTTGAGCTGAGGCTGTGTAGGACCTTGAAGTATGTCTAGAGGGGGGATGATTAGACTATTTGACCAATTAAAAACTTAACCTTTTCTCAATTTTAGAGTTTGGCAGATTTTAGCAATCTTTGGACAAGTCAAGCAACCATCACACGATTCAAGCAAGCATGCAACGAGTATATGAGCAGCGGAAATTAAAGCATGCAACTTGCAAGAAAGTAAAGGGAAGGGTTTGGAGGATTCAAACGCAATTGGAGACACGGATATTTTTGGCATGGTTCCGATAGGTGGTGCTATCGTACATCCACGTTGATGGAGACTTCAACCCACGAAGGGTAACGGTTGCGCGAGTCCACGGAGGGCTCCACCCACGAAGGGTCCACGAAGAAGCAACCTTGTCTACCCCACCATGGCCGTCGCCCACGAAGGACTTGCCTCACTAGCGGTAGATCTTCACGAAGTAGGCGATCTCCTTGCCCTTACAAACTCCTTGGTTCAACTCCACAATCTTGTCAGAGGCTCCCAAGTGAAACCTAGCCAATCTAGGAGACACCACTCTCCAAGAAGTAACAAATGGTGTGTTGATGATGAATTCCTTGCTCTTGTGCTTCAAATGATAGTCTCCCCAACACTCAACTCTCTCTCATGAGATTTGGATCTGGTGGAAAGAAGATTTGAGTGGAAAGCAACTTGGGGAAGGCTAGAGATCAAGATTCATATGGTAGGAATGGAATATCTTGGCCTCAACACATGAGTAGGTAGTTCTCTCTCAGAAATGATAAGTTGGAAGTGTAGGTTTGTTCTGATGGCTCTCTTCACGAATGAAGAGGAGGTGGAGGGGTATATATAGCCTCCACACAAAATCTAACCATTACACACAATTTACCAAACTCGGTGGGACCGAATCAACAAACTCGGTCGGACCGATTTAGTAAACCTAGTGACCGTTAGGATTTTCGGTGGGACCGACATGCAACTCGGTAGGACCGATATGGTTAGGGTTAGGGCATAACGTAATCTCGGTAAGACCGATTACACAAACTCGGTGAGACCGATTTTGGTAATAAGCTTTCCGGAGAGTTGGTCAGGTAAAATCGGTGGGACCGATTCGCTCATTTCGGTGAGACCAAAATGTTATGAAAGGGAAACAGGGAGTTTACATTGCAATCTTGATGGGACCGATCACTCACTTCGGTTAGACCGAAACGTTACGAAGGGAAACAGAGAGATTACAATCCCATCTCGGTGAGACCGAGATCCCTATCGGTGAGACCGATTTGCCTAGGGTTTGTGGCAGTGGCTATGACATTTGAACTCGGTGGCGTCGGATAGAAAGAATCGGTGTGACCGATTTTGACTTTGGGTTTAGGTCATATGAGGATGTGAGAGAGTAGTTGAGGGTGTTTGGAGCATATCACTAAGCACTTGAAGCAAGAGGCTCATTAAGCAACACCTCATCCCTCCTTGATAGTATTGGCTTTTCTTATAGACTCAATGTGATCTTGGATCACTAAAATGTAAAATGAAGAGTCTTGAGCTTTTGAGCTTGAGCCAATCCTTTGTCCTTGATATTTTGAGAGACCCACTTTTATCATCCATGCCATGCCATTCATTGAGCTTTCCTGAAATAATAGTCTTGGAATAGCATTAGCTCAATGAGCTATATGTTGTTATGAATTACCAAAACCACCTAGGGATAGTTGCAGTTTCAGACTGCTCAACAATTTATTACAAGCACGCCGATATTATACATAAAGGCGGATATGACACAAGGGTATGGTGGCATAACTACTGACTCACAATAAAAGTGGTGGTGGATATGTCACAGTGGAGTGGGTGACATGACTCCTAGATCTTACAGCTCATCGAGCGCCGGAGTGAGGCTCGATGATTTTATTCGGGTAGCGGAAGCGTATATGATACAAGTGACCAATTCCAGGATCGCATGGGACTGACTGGGACTCCTCTAGGCGTCGGACTCGCTATCATACTCTTCATCCATAAGATCGCCTTCGTCAACATCTGACCAAATCAACAAGCCAGGTGAGTACTTTGAATGTACTCGCAAGATAGTTTGGACATAAGATATAACAAATGCAAACATGATGCACATGAGCAGATTAGTAATGCACATTCAGATGATAAATTTGCAGGGCATGTTAAATAAAAAGGAAGTCAGACGGTAGTCCTCCCGAAATCCCGCCTCGAAAGGTAAAATTAAATTAACATGCCGCAGTTGGGCGTCAGGGCGACACCACATAAAGGGCTTATATTGAAATGTAAGTGACAGTGCGTGCCACAGTCGGACGTCTAAAGCGACATCTCGAAAAGGGCTTATAATGAAAGTAAATAACATGGATGCCACAGTCGGACGTCTGAGCGACATCATATAAAGGGCTTATATCACAAGTAAATAACAAGAATGCCACAGTCGGACGTCTGAGCGACATCACATAAAGGGCTTATATCAAAAAGTAAATAACAAGAGTGCCACAGTCGGACGTCTGAGCGACATCATATAAAGGGCTTATATCAAAAGTAAATAACAAGAGTGCCACAGTCGGACGTCTGAGCGACATCACATAAAGGCTTATATTTCACCATTCAAATTCAAGTAGCTCATGAATTTAAATCATCCCAAGGGAATACTCAGTATATAATGATCAACGGGTTAGTCCATCCACACGAATAACATTCAGCCGGGTTTACCACTCATGTTCATTCACCGAAGATTGTTATTGAAACTAACACTGAGACTGTCGATGAGACGGACGTTGAGACTGACACTGGTACTGACATAGATATGATGATCACAGTCCTTGACCATAGATATGGTTACTCGAATGGTTTTTGACTCTGCAGAGTTTGTACTCTTTAACCACAGCCAACGGATTTCCGTAGTCACAAAGGACTAGTTCCGTTTACGGTATTTTAGAAGAAACGCATCTAACCAGTACACATCCATTCCACATCCCGCTGCCAGGAATCACCCTAGGCAACGTTCAATAAAAACTTTAAGGCGGGGAGGCCACAACCTCGAGTAGCATGGGATCAAATTTATATCGCGCGCTCTAAGGGGTGCCCCCCTCTTTGTCCCAACCAGAAACACCCATGCCCCCTGACCGGATGACGGGCTTTAATCCAGGGCCATGGAACCCTCATCACGGCCCCTCTATTTGGTGTGTACGAGGAAAGAGGTTTGCAACTGACTAGACCGCATTCTTTACAGAAGACATGTGGCAGCACGAAAAAGGAGACGAACGGGAACATGATTTGATCCACGTTAAAACTGGAGTTAAACGGTTGGCATAAGACTGGCATGCTCCAACAATACCAGCTTGCAACCTATCATGCCACCACATGATCAGGTTATCTCACCATCATATAAACTCATCGAATTTCGAAGCTCACTTGTAGCTTGCTTTGCATGCAATATAACATTCATTAATGCTTATATGAACATGCCATGAGAAAACTACTCAAGTAAACATGCAAGACACTCATCATATCAAAGGTTCAAACATGCTTGCCTGGTTCGGAGTAGTCGGAGTCTAGCTCGGTGAAGTTTGCGGCTCCGTCACCTCCGTCAGTATCTACGGTATAAAAAAATCGGATACTAACGTAAATACCGTGCGTGCATAAAATTTGTTCCAAATAATTTTCAAATAAATATGATAAAAAACTAGATAGAAAAATAAAGATTACAGAAAAAGAATCAACTCAAAATCTTCTTTTGTTTAAAAGGTATAAGGGTTTTAGTCCAGGGACTAATCTGTGATGAAACAAAAACTTCCCAGGGGCTAGATTAAAAAAAAGATAGAAAACGTTTCGTTTAGAAAACGTATTTTGCCCGAAGGCGCTTTCAGAAAACGTTTCGAAAAAAAGAAAAAGTTGACGAGGGGGTCCCAACCGTCAGGTTCAAAAACCAAAACAGAGTCCCGCCGGCGCCCGAGGCTTGCGGTCGTCACCGGCTTTGATCCATGGCGAGGCAGGGGAAACGGAGGGTACCTACGGACTCACTGAGCTCTCCCGCGACTGTGGGTGGTGGAGTTGGTCGTTAGCGAGCACCACGTCGACGGTGGCCTCTACTCCGACGGACGGTGGTTCGGGCGGTGATGGATCTCGCCGAAGAGGGCTGCAAACGTCAAATTGGAGCTCGGGTTAGAAGAGTGGGTGCACTAGGAGGATGCTGACGAGGCTTGGGAGGCGGGGGTGCCCTCACCGGAGAGAATCGTGCCGGAGCCCGAAGCGGATCGGGGCGGCCGGAGTCGGGGAAGACGACCTCCTCGAGGTCCTCCTAGTGGCTGGGCGCGGTTCTGGTGAGGTGGAGGGGTGGTGCTTGGTCGAAGGCGAGCTTGGGTTCGCTATTTATAGCCGGCCCGAGGCGGTTGCCGAGAACGGGATAACTCCGGCGAGTGCTTACGGCGAGGCAGTGGTCGG